TACGTACCATGCTACAGTTAGCTAAGGACGTAAAAAATACGTTTCCTCTAGCCAGTGAAATACTCCATCACTCGATGTACGTTGACGACATCTTAGCTGGTGCTCATACTGTAAGAGAAGCAAACGATGCCAAAGAACAACTGATTCGTGCCTTGAATTCTGCAGGGTTCTCTCTCCGCAAGTGGACTTCGAACTCGAAAGAAATCCTCTCAGATTTTCCACCAGATCATCTTCTCTTCAAAGACTTTCTGGAGTTTGAGGATCACAGTACTGCCAATGCATTCGTTGGAATGCATTATCCGATATATAATTCCATTCCCCAATCCTCCTAAGTATACAAAAAGGGAAGTTCTATCTCAAATTTCGAAATTGTTTGATCCAGCTGGCTGGCTGTCGCCATGTGTAATAATCGCAAAAATTATAATGCAACAAGTATGGGTTGACGGCACCGGCTGGGATGAAATTATAAGCCAAGATTCCTTAAAACTATAGAAAACCTTTGAATCTTCATACCCTAATATCAAACTCATACAACTACCTAGATGGTTTGGCTATAATTCCACAAGCGACATTCAATTCCATGGTTTCTGTGATGCCTCGGAAAAGGCATATGCAGCCGCTTTTTATATTCGTATTAAAAACGAATACGGCATCCACACACACTTAGTGTGTTTCAAAAGTAAAGTAGCACCACTCAAAACGTTATCTATTCCCGAGACTAGAACTATGTGGTGCTACACTACTTGCAGAAACTGTCGATACTATTATCCCTCAACTCCGATTTCCAAGCTGTCCAATATTCTTCTGGGCAGATTCTACTATAGTTTTATCCTGGCTCTCAAAACCTCCTTGTTGTTGGAACACCTTCGTTGCCAACAGAATATCCAAGATAGTGGAAACATCCAATCCTTCTAATTGGTTCCATGTCAAATCTGAATCCAACCCAGCAGATCTGGCCAGTAGGGGTTTACATACTCATGAATTAATAAAAAACGATTTGTGGTGGTATGGCCCCCACTGGCTTAAAGACGACCCCACTAACATGTCTAAAAGCAATACTGTGATGACTGATACTAGTCTCGAAAAGAAAGTTCTCAAAGTTAATTTCGCGTATTTCGAAGACATTCTCGACAATTTCTCCTCCTTTCCAAAAGCAATCCGAGTTGCTGCATACGTATACAGATTTATTTTCCAAATTCTTCCGAAATATAAATCCAAATTCGTCTTCGTATCCAAAATAGTAACAGCTTCCGAAATGCAAGTAGTTCAAAATCGGCTAATATCATTGATACAGAAGGTTTGCAATCCAAACTACTACATGGCTCTCTCCAGCAAAGGGTCTCTTTCATCCAAGAGTCAATTGCTAAGCCTAAATCCTATTCTTGATACTGAAGGAGTTATGCGTGTGTGCGGTAGACTTGTCTCCTCTCCAGATTTGTGCGAAGATGAAAGACGTCCCATATTACTTTCTTATAAATGCCAATTCACACGGCTCTTAGTAACCTTTCTCCATGAATATTGCCTTCACGACGGAAATCAACTGGTCCTTAAGTTAATTCGTTCTAAATATTGGATATCCAAAGCGAAAAATCTTGTCAAAACAATAATACATAGATGTAAACCCTGTGTATTATACAAACACAGATGTCAAAAGCAGCCTTACCTCCTGAAAGGACAAAATTCTCAAGTCCTTTTACACATACAGGCCTCGACTTTGCCGGACCTTTCGACATTAAAATTTATAGAATTCATCCAAACATCGCACGAAGCCATAATATCAGGCTATGCACACCAAAACTTATCCTGGCATTTCATTCCCCCGGGAGCGCCTCACATGGGTGGACTATGGGAAGCTTTGGTAAAGAGCTTTAAAGCCCACTTCAAAAAGGTCGCAAAAAATTTTAGGCACACTTTTGAAGAATTCCAAACTCTTCTTTCTAAAATAGAGGCGTGTCTTAACTCCCGTCCATTATCTCCGATGTCCCAACATCGGACTTATCGGCCCTAACACCTTGACATTTTTTAATTGGCTCGCCAATTTTAGTTCCAATCGATCCAAACATGGACTCCATCCCCATGTCCATACTTAATCTCTGGCAACGCCTCAAGGTAATACATCGCCAAATATGTATAAGATGGAAAGATGAATACCTAAAGGAACTCCATCGTCGTCATAAGTGGCAATTTCCTCAAGATAATTTAAGAGAAGGTATGATGGTAGTTATCAAAGATGACAACACTCCACCGAACTCATGGCGATTAGGAAGAGTTACAAACACATTCCTTGGTCGTGATAATCTTGTCCGTATAGTTGAACTCAAAACTGAAAAAGGCACAATAACTCGGCCGGTAACAAAAATTGTCGTGATTCCGGTAGAAGACACGAATTCAAACGAATAACTATCCTTATACATATTCTTGCCAACTCCTAACCCCTCGAACTTATTATCATATTATAGTAAACATGCCAAGTCATCAATCGCCCGCAAAAAATAACCCAAACCGTACCAAGTCGTCTAAAAGGGAATTTGCGTCGAAACCAATACATTTGCAGATTATGCCGCCAACAACACGCTCTCCGGAAATGCGAGCGTTTCCTGGACATGAATACAACCAAACGCCGAGAAATAGTCCAAACCTATGGCTATTGTCAAAATTGTCTCGCCCATTCCCACTCCCAAGGAAATTGCTTTACAAAAACGGGATGCAAATATTGCCACCATCAGCACCATTCCCTGCTTCACATCCATCCTATACTCGAGGAAGGAATTCGAACAAGGCAAAGTCCAGTAGGATCCAACAGAATCTATTCTCGAAACCAATCGCAAAGGAATGATTCACAAAGTCGTGATTTGAATACAAGAAAGAGGACCTCCTTGGCTACAAGCGATACCATTACTGCCTCATTGACGGCGATTTTAAAAGGAAATACCGCTACCTTGCTCCCTACAGTCGTTGTTCAAATCGATAGTCCCAAGGAAAACAAAATTTGCGTTGCTTATTGGATTCTGGTGCAATATATAGTAGCATCTCGTCCAAAACAGTTTCCAAACTTGGTTTAACAACGTTGACCTTAAAAGACGAAACCATTTGTCCATTAACATTACATTCTGTATATGATACGGACATTATGATACGAAGCACATTGCGCATGACTAACAGAATAACCACACGAATACCCGAAAAATCAATACCCCAGTCACTCATATCTAACTTTAAAAATCTGATGTTAGCTGACTCTTCCTTTTATAAAACTAGCCCAATGACGTGATCTTTGGGGTAGACACATACTCACGCGTACTAAACGAAGGCATAATTACAAGGGTCGGTCGTCCGCGCAAAACACAATTTTTGGTTGGTCACTTTATGGCACTTGTTCACTATAATAAATTATCCATACTAAACAATGATATGAATTCATAATTTAAATGGGCACTTATGAAATAATGTAAGCTACTCCTGAATACACCTTACTTACTATAACAAAATACTGAATAAAATTAATGAATTTCACCCCTCTGATAGATATAGGTATATGAATTGTAACCTAACATATCACATAAGTCATAACGTACTAATTTTACAATTTGTACATGCAGATCATATGGAAGTTGTCAAGGAATATAAATTGCAACTACGCTTAAAGGGGGCCGGAAATGTGTGTGCCAAACAACATTGAAGTCAGCAACTAAATCTCTAATTGCCAAAACATGCAAAAACTCCCAATTACTTTACCAGCAATTTTAAGCTTAATATTGGCATCATTTTTTCTGTTAAAAATTGACATAAATTTGTCTGTAAAGTATATGCCTTGACAGCTTCCGCTCAACGTAAAAAAAGTTCTTTCTTGTTCAACCTCGACTTTCGTTCTGGTAAGACCTATGATCTCCAAATAAATCCAAAATTTATCAATCCATCTTGAAACCACATCTTTTTGTTTTCATTTTTTCTTCCCTACATTCATAATTGGACACATCCATTCCAATCTCTCTTGGAGTTGCAAAGACAAAGTTATTGCTTTGCCTCTTTGCATTTTTGCTCATTGGGTTCTATTTCAACACCAGGTCCAACACCCCCGTTGTCACCAACATGGACCATGGCAGAAGAATACAGGTAGATGCATCAACGTTTGGGAACATCGATATGTCAAAAAAAATATTTTTTTTTGAAAAATAAATAGATTTTTATAGGGTTTCTTATACAACGACAATTGGAGGTTTTTATGATATGCATTTCTCAAGAATTTGTACAATTTTTCATTCAACATTTTCAATTATAAAATTGGTTTGACAGTTCATTGTCCCAGCAGCTGTGTCGGCGCGTCTACCTATATTCTTCTACCATGGTATGGACCTTAAAGAAACTCAGGAACTATTTATACGGCATGAAAAATTTGAATATTTTTATGGACTGCCAGCTTCTGACATTTTCCGTTTTGGATCGCAATCCGAAACGTTGGATGACGACTTATCTATTTTCCCTTCGTTTCAAAATTTCCAAAGCTTTTATAATGCGATCCTGATTCGCATTGAAATTTATTACGACTATGTAAAATAAATCATTCTTCCGATTTAAATATCGATATATCATGGTAGAAAAATACAGGTACATGCATCAACGCTTGGGAGCATTGATATATATCAAAAAATTTTAAATTTCTTTTCAAATATGAGTAGATTTTTATATGTTTTCTTATACGACGTCATTCGGAGTATATTATAATACTCGTTTTTCAACAATTTTTACAAATTAAAATAAGTTTTCATTCAACATTTTCAATTCCAAATTTGCTTTGACAGTTCATTGTCCCAGCAGCTGTGTCGATGCGTCTACCTACATTCTTCTACCATGACACCTATTGGTCATCCATAAAATCAGCAGTACATCCATGGTATAAGAATAATTCCTCTACCATGAGAGAAGGTCTAACATTTCATAAAGATTGTCTTTATTTATCACGTTACTAGTAAACAGTTTTTAGTTATTTAATTGTCTGGCAACTCCAAACGTTTGGGCAAACGAATGAATTCCGATTGCTGTCAATATTCGTACATTTGACTAAAGATAGTTCGCAAATATTCGTTAAAAAAGGTGTATCTTTGAAGTGTATTAAAAGTTGTGTGTTTATATCTGAGTCTTACTGAAAAATTTCAATGGCGTCAAGCGATAAAACCATTGATGATTCTCTGTATCCAATAGCAGTTCTTATTGACGAACTTAAAAATGAAGATGTCCAGGTAAAATATATTGTATACATATCTGTATTACTACGTGAGGGTTTCACATATCATATTATTAACGTTGTCAGCATGGCGTTTCTAAAAATATGCCGTGTTAAATTTTATTTACAACGTTATATTCCCGTATGATAATTTGATGAGGTTTTACTTAAAAGTAGATAAAAACTTAATTTTATAGTGATAGAGGTATTTTATTTTTTTTTGTGTGTTTAAATTGAAGGAACTTCTCTAGACTAGTTAGTAGATTAGAAATTTTTTCCAGAGGTAGTTATTTTTACCCTGATTCCGGGAAGCTATTTTGGCATAAGTTGAGTTTAGGGGCTATGCTTGGATTGACCTGAAATTTTTACCGCAGGTAGGTATTTGTAACCTGATTACGGCAATATAATTTTTTTGTGGGGGAAATACCCGGTTACCCGGTTATTCGACCCAAAAGTTCGGATACAACATCCGGTTTATATCCGGTTCTACGTAACCGATATCAATAATATGGGTATCATTTGAAAGCTTATGAAAATTCCTATCCAACAAGTGGTCATATGACGGGGTAACTGGAACCTGTTTCGGAGAAATTTAGGAAAATGTGCATTTTTGTATGAGTAATTTTTGAAAAACCCATAAAAACTCGAAAATGGACCCATTATAGGGTCTTAAAATCTATACACAATATTATAGCTAACACTATTGCCTTTCCAAAATGGTGTCATATGTGTTGATATCTTTTGTAGTTCCGAAGATATTGACTTTTAAAGTCGTTACTTATGAAAGCAGTTGAGTGAACCCAAGTTTTGTGTCGGGTTTAACGTTCTTGTTAATCTGCTTTGTTTTTAATTTGGTGTTGTTAGAATATTATGGATCGCGTAGTCGGTGTTGGACATATCCCAGAGGAGAAAATCTTAAGCCCCGGCCGAAGGCCGGCTACTTACAAAAATTACAATTTTTAGAAAAACTATGGATCGCGTAGCTGGTGTTGGACATACCCTAGAGGAGAAAATCTTAAGCCCCGGCCGAAGGCCGGCTACTTACAAAAATTACAATTTTTAGAAAAACTATGGATCGCGTAGCCGGTGTTGGACATACCCTAGAGGAGAAAATCTTAAGCCCCGGCCGAAGGCCGGCTACTTACAAAATGTACAATTTTTAGAAAAACTATGGATCGCGTAGCCGGTGTTGGACATACCCCAGAGGAGAAAATCTTAAGCCCCGGCCGAAGGCCGGTTGCTTAAAAAAGCTATAAAGGTCAAAGTCAAATGCATCTAGACTGGAGAAAAATATAATTTAATGAATTCTATCTCTTATATCCACGGAACCACAAAAGATATCAACACATATGACACCATTTTGGAAAGGCAATAGTGTTAGCTATAATATAGTGTATAGATTTTAAGACCCTATAATGGGTCCATTTTCGAGTTTTTATAGGTTTTTCAAAAAGTACTCATACAAAAATGCAAATTTTCCTAAATTTCTCCGAAACCGGTTCCAGCAACCCCGTCATATGGCCACTTGTTGGATAGGTATTTTCATAAGCTTTCAAATGATACCCATTTTATTGATATCGGTTACGTAGAACCGGATACAAACCGGATGTTGTATTCGAACTTTTGGGTCGAATAACCGGGTAACCGGGTATTTCCCCCACAAAAAAATTACATTGCCGTAATCAGGTTACAAATACCTACCTGCGGTAAAAATTTCAAAATGATCCGAGCATAGCCCCTAAACTCAACTTGCTCCACCAGATATAGACAATATAGTCGTTGGGAAGCAAATTGTAGCATTTTGGAAATATTTACCGAAGGGTATATCTTGTTAATATAATTGTTAATCACAGCGACATATTTTTTGTAAGTAAAAATTTGGAACCCTATATTTCTTAAAGTGTGGACCCACCTCTCGAAAATGTTTTGTTGTTGTATTCAGGATACAAGAACGAAAAACCATTTTGAAGTTTTTATTTTAATTATTGGTTTGAAGTAGCAAAGTAAGAAAGGGGTATTTTTTGGAACGGCATCCTTTATCTCGGGATGTATTGATTTCCCCCTAATCGCTGTGATTAGGATAACAAGACCTACCTTTGATAAAAATTTCAGAATATTAATCCAGCTGGAACAGAACCCAATTTGTTCCGAAATTTGTTTCAAGAAAAGGCATCGGCTTATAGTAAAATAGTAAAAACTCGGATTTTTTAAAACATTTCAAGGGGTAGGTATTTGTACCCTGATTCCAGGAAAGTATTTTTTTTTGGAACGGACGCGGATGCATAGATATTTGACCTGAAATTCTAATTCAAGATCCGTGTTGGATCCGGATTCACACCGATATGGAAAACATATCATCATCGGGTTGCCCAGGTTCAAAGATACATATCTCTGGTCCAGGAGACATAATTGCAAATATTGAAGCATTTTTGAAAGGTTGGAGTGTAAGCTATATTTGGTATAAATTTTATGAACACCCATATTGGACCCTTTTTTGGGGTTTTATAAAAATAAAGGTCTAAAAATCGATAATTTAGATATAACTCCCGTTATGTGATCGTGATCACTTGTTGGATAGATATTTCTAAATAGTACCATATCGATTTAGTAGATCCGGATCTAACCCGGGTCTTTGAACGATTGTTGCGTCAAATATCCAGGTATGAGGGTCCGTCGCCCCAAAAAATAAATTCCCGGAATCGCGGTGTAAATACCTACCTCTGGAAAAAAAATTAAAAAATCCGAGAGCTTTTACTAAAGTAGATTTGTTCTTAGATATCTTTACACTTATTTTATGACCTTTGGCACATCTGTTTTCGGTGATACGAATATTATTTGTTCATATTTTATGCATTTGGTGCACAATAAGTATGAAATAGGGCTATATCCACTTCACTACTAACTATCATAATAGGCTTCGTATATATAAACCAATTAAACTGTACGAAATTTAATCTCACATAGACAACATTTTTGGGAGACAAGATATTGCAAATTATTACATCATAATGGAATTGAGGAAATGAAAATTTAAAACCAGCTACAGAGTTTAATTCATCAGCTAGTTTGTCAAATAATAAAACATATGTATTTTAATTGTTTAAAAATAAATTATTCTGGATTTAAAAACTTTTAAACTCATACCAAAATTTACATACAGTACACAGAATTAAAATCAACACAAATTTTGCTAAGAGGTTCGCCCATTGAATATTTCTTGTAGTGAAAATCTGTATGTAATAATTGGTAGTATCTACTAGATCTAAACGGTACATTATACTAATAGATGAAATCTGAAGGCATATTTTTTTATCGAACGCACCCAACGCCACTCATTTCCCACCCCTGCCGACTGAGGGGGCGACCATCCCCATACTTAGGGATCGCGTACACATCATGATCCGCATCATGATTGTTTATCAGCAAGCGTTAATAATTCCAGCTACAGAAAATAAATTCATCAGCTGGTAAAAAATACAATTATCTACATACAATCTATTGATCATTTAAATACAATGAATCACAACCCTGTTGTGATTAGTTCAAAAAATTGTGGTGCTTCGTGCTTTTGAAAAAAAATTAATAGTTATTGTGTTATTAAATTAATTAATCTGGTAAAAAAGTGTTTAAAAGTGTTCAATAGTGATTTGTAACTCAAAGTGATAATTGGTGTAGTGTTTTAAAATCTTGTTTTGTGTTTTAAAGTTATATCAATTTTAAAATTGTGTAGTTTTACATTTTCCTTTTATCCTCTTTCTTTTGTTACATTAGCTAATTAGTTGTTGTAACATTATCGTCTTGTTTTGTTTGTCATCTCAAAAGAGTTGCCAACATTTAAAAAAAAAAATAAATAAAAAAGAATAAATATAAATAACAAAAATTCCAGCTACAGATCTAATCTTAAATAAAATATTTGGAACTTGTGTATTAAAAAAGAAATAGTTATAATTAAAATAAAGAAAATGTCGTGCCCTTTTGAATTGTGTAATATTGTTGCTGAGGATGAATTGTGTGTTACCTGTTGGTTTTGTCTTAATGTGCTAGGATTAATGCAAAAGTCGTAGACACAATTAGAAATAATGTTGGTGTTCGTTGGTGTTGTGTGCAATGCAGGAAACTCTCTGCAGACTTTTATAATTTTGTAAAGGATTTGCAGTCGGAATTGACATCGATGAAAAAAGATTTTTCCTCATTATCACTCCGATTTGAGAATTTCTCTACATTGTTTGAGAAATACCAAGAGTTAGATGAGTTTGTGTCGTCACCGTCAGTTTCTGGACAGAAACGCAAAAGGGCTGCGAAAAAGGCACCAACTAAGGGAATGCCTAGTCGCAAAGCAATAGTTTCTGTTGAGAACACTGTTCCACAACCGGTCTCAGTTAATATCACTGATACAACTGAGAATGGACGTGAACAGTCGTATGCCAGTGTTATTACACACCCAGTTCCGGTAGATAACAGCGGTATAGGTAAAGGGGTAATTAATCCTGATGTTATGAATATTGATAGTGAGGTTTCTAAGAAAACCTCACAATCTACTCGTGACATACAGGAATTATCATTTCCTTCACTTATCACTAGTGATCGTCCCGAGACTGCTACTGGCAAAACTCAACCTGTCCAAAGATCATTATCCATGGCCCCCGCCATGAAAATGATATTTGCAACGAGGTTTGCACCAGAAACAACGGCCGATGACATAAACTATTATATAAAATCAAAAATTGAGGGAGATTACTTTTTGAAATGTTATAAGCTCCGATCTGCATTTTCTGAAAGTAGATCTTCTTTCAAAATCGTTGTGCCTGACAATATTTTTGTACAGTTGATTTTAAAAGAATTTTGGCCTTCTAGGGCATTTATTAAAGAATTTGTGGAGAGATCCGATAATTTAGCTCATTTGCCTCTTAGACCAGACTCGGTGCCAAAAAACTAAATGACTCATTTTCTATCTGCTATCAGAATGTAAGGGGGCTTAATACAAAATTAACCAGTTTATATACTGATAGCATTGGT